GGCCGCCAGCCACAGAATGGGTACCCTGGGGCAGGTAGACTTTCATTTGGAGAACGGCCGCGCTGGAGAAGGACTACCCATGGAAGGCGGCTGGAAGAGAAAATACGACGCGGCGATTATTTTCCTCGAGGTTACTAGAGAACGTCCCTACGATATCGTTGCTAATACCTTTTCTTTCCCGGCCAGCTGAGGACAAGGAATGCGACGGGATCCGTAGTCTAGACAAGACTCTGACTCCCGATGATTTGGGACACCTCCGACTTCTTCGTTGGGAGAGCGCCTCGGTATCCGTAAAGATACCAAGTTGGATAGTTGGGCGAGTCTGCGAAGCCATGAGTTACGGGAGCACCCATCAAATGTCCGCCGGAGACTGACGGCACTGCATCTACGCCACAGTGTACCGCGGATTCATGGGCTTTGCTGTGTGTATTGTGGAGAGCCCGAAATGAGGCGAGGCACAGATCCCACACTGATGCCGACCTAGCTGAGCTTGTGTGCAGTTGCAACTTAGACTAGTATCTCGCCAGGACATCAGAGCTCGTCCACACCAAGGACAAGCCTCGGCCTAGCTGACGTATTGATGTGCTCGTTGAGCTACCCGTACTTTAGCTAGGTATCGACATCCGCATCCGCATCCGCGCCCACAGTCTAGGTACGCAGTACTCCGTACGTACATCCGCGTCGGTTTCGCTGGCGCAGCGCTAGACTGCAACGTGCCGTGTGTCTTTGGTGAGGTGCCACCTAGTGGCCGCTAAGACTGTAAGACATCCTCCCTGCCCAGTCCACGGATACCTTAATCATGTCTCTCATCGTATCGACAACTCAAAGGACCATCCGAGACAGACACGCAGGAGGACGGACGTGCCTCGAGCCGCTCAAGGATGATGACAGGCCAGGGCTCGGACGCGGACGGATAATACATCGGACGGCACAGCACAGGACAGGGCATGGCAGGACTGGACGGGACAGGACCACAGGACCACAGGACCACAGGAACGACTCACAAGGGAAATGTGACCAGGGCAAGCCAAGCTCGGAGAGAACGAACGAACGAACGTGGATGGGGGACCAGAAAGCGCCCTGTCACCTTTTCTCCTTCCGCTGCCACGCTGCCATAGCCGCATTCCATCCCTCAAGCATGAGCATGTTCGGTATCCTTGCCTTCCTCGACTTAGCTATCAATATTCGTACGCTATTACTTGGTACTCCGTTCGGATACCACAGTAAGTTGCCTTCTTACCCGTTGTCCGACATACCTTGCCTTACAGCGGTCTCCGAGGGCGGCACCTCACGTACGGATACCGTGGTCCTTGCCCCATGACAATGGTAAGGTAAGGTATCCAAGAGTAGTAGCTGACGAGGATGGATGGCAGATTCCCTTACCTCACCATTCAAAGCATGATTACGGATACGGATGATTCCTCTCTTTCCAATCTCCTCCATCCCCAGCGGCCTCGCGAGCTGCAACATCTGATGAGCATCAAACCTCTTACATCCCTATCATGGTTTTGTTTTTCGACAGCTGCCCCGTCGTGCGAGGCTACGCGTACGTCTTTCTTCCATTCAATGCCACCGTCTCAGACCCGTCATCTCATCTCTCTGTTGCGCTCACAGGTCGATCCCTCCGCTCGCCTCTCCACATATCCCACAACCTTCTTTCGACCCCGTCGACATTGCTGCATTCACACCCTCCCCCCCGGCTCTTGTTGTGTCTTTTCCTCTTCTTCCCCCCCATGTCACTCACCCCGTGGTCCAGTTCCACGCACCCACATCCGCTCATCTGTCTCTCCCCCTACCTACCTACCTACCTACCTACTTACCTACCGCTACCTTACCCCCTGGACCCTGGGCTACCGACACCACCACCACCACCGGCATCATTACCACGAGCATCAGCAGCCACCGCCGCAAACCTATGTGCAGCGATTACAACGTTGGCTCGAGCGTTGCCATGCGTTCCGTCAGTACGTATTCCGATATACCTGGCTCGAATGGTGTCGTCTCGTTCTGCCTTACCTCTCCAAATGAGCCATAGCACACATGGCCACATGGGCTGTCAACTGTTGTTCATGTTCTTTGTCCTGCTGTGCGTGCCTGGGTTAGCTACCTTAGGTACGGAGTACAGTTCTTCTATCTGCAAGGTACTCGAGAGATCAAAGCTAATTAGCACAGGAAGATCGATCATCCTTTCCAACGCCTGCATTCCCAACTGTGTATCCGTATGTACACTCACTCACCTCACTCTCCTGGCTCATTACTTGCTTCTTTTCTTTCGCAGATTCAATGATCTCTTTTCCCCACTCTCTGCCGCTTCCACACCCCTCCAAGCTCGCTCTTCAATACCGTCGATATCAAGTCAATCTTACAGTTCCTCCACTCTCTCCCGCTGCCTGTCTTCATCCTGGCTTGGTCTCTGCCCTTTCTAGTGTAGGAAGTATGGATATACCTTGACTTGGAGAGTTAACCCCCCGGGGTGTTGGTCTGTCTCCTCCCCCTCCATCTACATACATCTTCGCCTAGGTATCCGTACCCTCCACCCATCCATCCCATCTTATCCTTGTACGAAATTCGTCCCATCCCATCCATCCCCCATCCGCATCCACCAGTCAGTCTTCTTTTCCTCCTTCCTGGCTCCCGGCTACATTGTACATACCCATCCTGCCATCTGCCATCTGCTACCGGCTCCGACTTTCGAGACAACGTTCACCCCTCCCTGTCCACTCCCACCTGAACCATCCCTCCTTCGCATCCCCAATCAAATTTGGTACTCTGCACGCTGCATACTGGCCGTCACTGCTAACTTGCAAAAAGTGAATACTGTGGTAGGGAAGAAACACAGTAAGGTAGAGCCTGCAGACGCAATGAAGCCCTTTTGATTTCCACCGTAAATTATTATTGCATCTTATTTCTCCGTCCCCTCTCTCTCGCTCTCTCTACGGATAGTCCTGCTAGCTTTCTCTGGCCCTGGCCACGCCCGCGGTCCCGTCCTGTGTCCGCATCTTCCTTCACTCACCTTTCACTGGACTGTGGCCCAACTGACTCTCGTCTCCCCCACTGTCTTATTACGTTGTGGCTTCATACGTGCCTGGTTTAATCTCATCCGGGAACCCTCAGACCCAGCGCTACTATCGCCATCGCTACCGTCAACCAATATTATCATCTCCTCCCTGGCCACCGTACTGACTGCTTCAAGTTACTGGTTTTCTGTTTTTTGCTGCCCACGGCTGGCAATGCTGCCGGTTGATGATTTTTCTTCCCTCTCTCTCACTCACACACACTCTCTCTCACTCTCATATACTCACTTCCTCACACCCTCTCTCACTCTGTCCTTTCTCTCCAACACGCGCCCCTCCCGTTCCCTCGCACTCAAGAGGGATACCTCGCAGAAAGCATTGTACCTTACCTCATCCCAATCTGCACACACTCACACACACCTCTCACACACAGATGCGCGGAGAATTGTCGTTGAACAGGGGATCGTGATGGCATAGCCCTCTACCCTTGATTAGCAGCCACTCTAAAGACGTCGACCAGGGTGTTCCCTGGCCTACCTTTTCCTCGACCAGATCAACCCTGAACCACACCCTAGCTTCATCTCAATTGCCCCCTCCCCTCGTAGGTCTAGCAAGCCTGCCTCCAGTCACACAAAAACCGACCGGGAGCCACCGATCGACTGTTCCCAAAAAAAAAAAAAGCCTATGGGTCCTTCTCTCCAACGTATCCAGCCCTCGAGAAATAACGCTTCTTTATTCCGGCCGCCGAGAGGAGAGAGAATCGGAGAGACAAAAAGAGGCTAGGGGTAGACTAGATCTACATCGTCTTCCTCCCTTTTCTCTACTTCCGCCCTTCTCTTTCTCTTATTTCATCACTTATACATCCGTACCCAAAGACAGGTCGCCGGTACGCAGGTATCCAACCTTCCATCTCCGCATCCCGTGCCTGAGGTTCTGTCGTGGTACCTTCTGCAACTGCCCGCAACAGCATCGCGCTCGACGACCCGCCAGCATCGCCGCGCAAGGAGCTTCATTGGGGCTTGGAGGATCATTGTGCGAGCGTCCTGTTACAGCAGCCTCATCGTCTTACAGCATCGGACGTTGCATCTTTTCATTCCTGGCCTGCTTTCCTAGCACAGCTGAATCGGCCTTCTCTTTGGACTCTCACACCTAGCACGAACGCCCGGTTGAGTGTTTAAAGACGGCGCGCGAACTTGCATTGTCTTTAAAATACCCGCTGGTTCAAGCTTTCGCTGTTCGCCATATCGAGTATTTCTTCAGAAACCACGAAAGAGCTTTCTTGTCCCTACCAGGACCAGTGTTTCGAGACCGTGTGGACAGGAGGAGGAATTCGACTGATCCAACCAAAAGAAAAAGGCATCTTTCGAGCGGAGCCACAGAGTTCAACAGGACTTGAAGAAAAGAAGGGGTTTATCATTTGGACCTGGAGCACGCAAAAAAGCGCGACGACAAGCTTCAGAATATCGACAACAGCATACGACGCACCGATAGCGTCCACGCGATAGTTCCGGCCTTTCGCAACATTCTGGGAAACGAGGCGTCGTCTGAACGAAGACGTGGGGAGCTCTCGACCCGGGTGCCCAGTGAAGCTGCATCACAACATCCATGCAAGCCATAAGTAGCGATTGCGATACGTCGTCTACCTCGTTCGGCCAGCGCCGAGGCATTTCCGATCTGGCGCGATTCGCCCTCGATCTGACCTGGGCAACGCCAACAAGAGCAGAGTCCGAGACTCCTGCTCGACCCAGAGCATATCCTTCCCCGCCCATGTCAGGGTCTCCTCCTCTTCCGCCCAAGCCAAATCCAGAGGCTGGTGACCGAGGGCAACTGCATGGTGGCTATCCATCCACCAGCCCGCAAAATGCCTACCGGGGAGGACTGCCGCCAACGACGATACCGCAAGGCGACTACCGAGGACCTCCACCTCCGCCGCATTCCTTGCCGCCGCCCCAGCCCCGATCATATCACGCCGAACCACAGGATAGGATGCCTTACTCATACCCTCGACCCGACGACCACCTGCGGACTACGCCTTCAGGATACGCACATCTGGCGAGCCAGGCAAGCCAAGTCATGCAGCAGCGGCCTCCTCCGCCCTACATGCAAATGTCTGGACCACCGCCGCCACAGCCAACAGGACCCCATCAGCATGGCTATGCGACGACCATGTCGCAGACATCCCAGGACAGCGGTCCCTATACGTCTCCCAAGACGCAAAGAAAGACAAAGGGCCATGTGGCATCAGCCTGTGTGCCATGTAAACGAGCCCATCTTCGGTAGGTTACCATTCTCCCCGCAGATATCTCAAGTGAAACGGGCGGTGGTATCTCGATACGGTGACGCTGACATTTAGTCTAGATGCGACGGTACGTACGACTGGCTGGCTAGCTAGCCTATTTTTGATTTTTGCGTTTTTGCGTTTTTCTTTCTTCGGGCTGCCGTTTTTGCATTGTCCTTTCGGCTGGGGGATCGACCAAAAGAGGAAACTCCCGCGGACTGCAAGGAACCAGCACTGCAGCCTCCAGGCGCATGCGGCTCCAAAATCTTTGGGGGGAAACAACACTTGACATCGGTACCCGTCGAGAGGCTCCGAGAGTGAATTTGGACGCGGCATTAACCTAGCACGGCGTACGTGCGTGCGACACTCGAAGCAGCGCAGGGATCAACCCCTTGACCTGAGACCGATGCTGAGGGGAAGACGATCCCGTCTGGGAGGATCATTCGCAGAAACTCGGACGGAGAGTTGAGATATGGATGGCGCATGCCGTCAAAGGCTGTCAACCAAGTCTTACTTGAGCTGAGCAGGTGTCCGTGAGCCCAACAGGACTGGCGTCAATCCTAGCAGAGAGTATTGGTCTTCTCTGGCCAGACTTCCGCGCCGGGTATCTCAGCTCCTCCAGCTTTCCCATTCTCACAACCAAGCGATCAGCCAACCACTCCCGTTCTTGCGCCGTCTGGTTCCTGGACCCGTTCGCTCCGGAGTGTCGGCCCGGCATTCTGGGAAGATTGGCGGGTAACAGCCGGCACCCCCGGGAGCGACCCTCGAATCTTGATTATGGTTAGGGATGCGGTGAACTCGCCAATCGCGTGTCGTTGGACCGGGTGTGGTTACTATCGATTGTGCCATGTCTGAAACAGAAAGCGGAGGCGATTTTCCCTTTCGTCTGCGTTTTCTGGGTGGACTTGGCTGGTCGATCGCTGCTCCGTCTGGTCTGGTCGCGGGATGATCCAAGTGGACAGAACTAGCGTGTCATTGACGTGTCGGATGCGACGCATGGCAGCTGGGGGCGGATGGGGTGGGAAAAGCAACCAAATGTCTAAGCCACGCGACTGACGAGCAAGTGCCCGTTGGAAGACGTCATGTAAGCTTTTTTGCTTGACAGGTGGTGCTGGAGGTTGCCGCTTTTGCACTTGCAACAGCTTTGGATCGTGCGCTTGCGTGTTTTTCTTCTTTCATTTTAGTGTGTGGAGAGAGAGAGAACACCACAACCGGATGACAGTTTCGCTGACGTGCTCTTGCGACAAATAGCTCAACGACCCTGTTCGAGATGCACAAGCAACGGCAAGGAAGACGCCTGCGTTGACGTGCAACACAAAAAGCGTGGCCGCCCGCGGCTGAGAGACGACCGAGAAGCGCGCTATGGCCCCTCGACATATCAGCATCCCCAGGATGCCGCCGCCGCCGCGGCAGCAAGGAGACCGCCGCTGAGCCACTACTCAGCTGGCACTCCTATCTCAGGGTACGATGACCCCATCCGAGGCAGTCACTCCTATCGCGTTCTAAAGTCTCAACCAAGCGAACCCATTGCGCCTCGGTATCTGGACAGAGCTCCCATGGGCGAGGCGAACCTGTACAGCCAGCCCCCGTCTTTCGCGTCCGGTGCGCCCGAGCCAGTCATCTTCTTGACGACAGAGCTGGAAATTGCGCGTGCTTCGCCGGCTTTTGCTGATGCCGTCGGTATTGCCAACGTCAGAGGTCGCTCTCTCTTTGACATCGTAGTGCCCAGTGAGCGCGAAAAGCTTCAGAGCCATCAACGGCAGATACAAGAAGAGCGAACAAGAAAGGACCCGGTCTACCTACCTCCCATCTTCGGCAGGCAGGAGCAAGAGCGCATTTTCGACTCTTTGCGATTCGAGGCCGATGAGATTTCGCGGTTCCAACTCGATCGTCAAGACTTCTTCGTTTTCGCGGCGAGCGATGGACAGCCGAGGTCGTATTCCGTGCGTCTGGGGTTGGCCAAGCGTGAATCGATTTATTTCATCGTCCTTCTCATCAACGCCGCACCGCGGTATCCGTATCCCTCGCCATCGCCGCATGCACGCGAGGTGCCGTATCCTTATCCGCCCCAACAGCAGGCGTACGCGCAGCATACCCCCGTCTCCGCCACGTTCGAGCAGCCGAGACCTCGATTCGGAGAAGGCGCACTCGCGCCGCGCCCATCCCCTGGCCAGCCTCTGCACATGGCTTCTGGTCTAAGCCCCGGCATCAGTCCTGGCATGCCCTCCTATGCGGCCTCGCCCAGTCGTCCCGAGTACGCCAGCGGACCCTCGTCGTACCAAATCCCTCGCAGTGAGCTGCCGCCGACCACTCGGCCGCCGCAGCCATCTTTCCAGTTGCCTCCGATTCGAGCTGGGCCCCACCAACCTCCTCAGCTAGAATCATCTTCCTGGCAAAGGGATGAACGATCCGGACGGGTCGATATCGGTGGCCTGCTCGAGAAGCCGGACGCGCAGCAACGACGTCCGCAATGATTAATGACTTCCTGCCGCCCTAGCGGTTGTGGTCGATAATAATTCCTTCAATCAGCTCGGTGTACCTCTCCTCCGCTGTGTCGATTGAGGCTGCATTCGAGACCAACTTCCGGTCCGTTGACATTTTGACCGTGTGTTGAGATGGGCGGTCTCTGAGTGGTCCGTCTCTTGTACTTGTATCGAGTTCCCTTCGTTTCCATGTCTGCCTTCGGGCCCATCGTTGTTGTTTTTCCGGCGGCCACGAGCCGTCACGAGATACCACTTGTATAACCACCAACTTTTTTGCTTTTTTTTTTTGCTCACCCCCTGCACATACTGCTTTCCTGCTGCTTCCAATTGGGGCATTTTGGCATCCGTTTGGGCGTTTTCTCTTTGGCTTCGATTTCCTGGGCAGGGCAGGTTGCGTCTGTTGTTGCATCCAATCCAATGCTGAATGATGTTGGAGAGTGTAGGAATATGGCCCGTCGTCTCCAAAAAAAAGATGTTGGCGGCGAAATGAGAGGAGCCATGGGGCGGTCATATGCGTGTCTTTGTTGCTGTCTGGACCCAAGATACCGTTTTCTTGTTATATCCCTCAAAGAAAAGAAGGCCCAACCGGCGATTCCTTGATAACTATCGTGTTGCTCTATTCATGTCGCCTTGCTGCTGAGATGCCCTAGTGTCGTCGTTGTCGTTGTCGTCGTCTAACTTAGGCTCATGTGGGTAATATCCGACGTCGTGAAGATGGCGTCCGGGATGATGATGATGAGTGCCCAGCCCAGGGTTTCGAAAAGTCCGATGTCGACGACAGGCTGATTCCAACGATAGCTCGACGAACAACCCCAGAAGCGACAAGACAACTCTTTGTTTGCTTCCATTACTTGAAGGAGGACATGGCCAGATGAGCGGGGGAAGGGGGCGAGGTCGCAGACTTTTGACAGGAGAGTTGCCCCATTACTCAGGTCCGGGAATTGCGGAGACCATCGGGAAGGGGTCAGTGCGGTAGGGCATCTGCCGCAATTCCGGCAGGTCAACCCGTGGAACTGTTTTTATCGTAGCCAAGGCTATGGAGCGTTGATGAAGGGGTGTTCCATGCTTCATGTTGCGGGAGTGCGGTGGAGGCGCAATGTGCACCGGGAGGGTGACATAGGAGCGAGATGCTCGGGAGAGCACAATATTGCGAGATCCCGGCCGGAGGTGAATACTGTGTAGAGGGAAGAGGAGTAGGAAGGGAAGAGGGGGTGGACAAGAAAGAGAGAGGCGGCCGTTGTATAAGAGAGAGAAAAAAGAGAGGCTAGAGCAAAGAACGATGTTCGGCTGCCACTGCAATGACAGGCCCGTAGATAATTTAAACCACCTTGGTTCATAAGACTGCAATGAAAAGGGATTGGTCACTCACTCGAACCCCCCATCCTACGTTTCGTTTCCCCTTTGGCTACCCCTGCCTCGCTCTCTCTTCTCTGCAGTCTACTGCGCAAGTCAAATCTGCCACTTTTGCAAAAGCTCGCCCGTGCCCATTCAGGCGCCCAGTCGGCGGACGCGGATGCGGATGCGGATGCGTGCGTCTTAATGTACCCATCTGCGTGCGTTGCGTTGCGTTTTTGCGTCCTTTTGTGTCCAACGCAAGTGGTGCATGAGGAAGTGTGTGTCATTTCGCGTGGCTCCTAGTTGCACCCGCATTGAAGGGTATAATCCGGCCCTGGTATTGAACTGGTGCCGCCGCCCGCTTGAAGCATTGGGTGAGGATGGATGATAATCGCTCGGTCTGGTTTGGGCCCCGTTTTTCCTTTTCTTGCCGATGAACCATTGCATATAATCCATGATCTTAGGTGATGAGAAGCGAGAGTGGGCGATATGAGATGGGGCCAAGGATGGAAGAGAGTGGGAGACTGGGAGGGAAAAGAGGAGGATGGTGGAGGGGGGAGGGATTATCGGGAGTTTTCCTCGGGAGGTCCATGGTTCTTGTTTGGACGTTCGGGATGGATTGATGTTGCCATTGGCTCGAGTCATAGTCTCTGACAGCTCTGTGTCTCTCCGTGTCTTCGGTATTGGCTCGACTGTTGCGCTTGGTTTTGTGCGTCTGTGGCAGCGCTGGTCTACTCAATCTGAAGGGCGAGCTGTCTTCATGCAGTCAGATGATGGACTTGTATGTCCGTTTCTTCATCGTCGACGTTCCCGCAGATCTTTCCTTCGATCGTGTGCCGTAATGTGGGCAGCGTCCCCCAACAAAGTAAGAGAGTAACAGACTGAGCGGGACTCGAGAGATGAGGTGAGAGAGAAAAAGATGTGATGCTCAGGGGACCTTGAGTTGACCGTCGTCTTCAGTGCCCCCCTCCCCGGGCATCTCTCTCTTTTTGTCTCTCTTCCTGCGTAGTCGAAAGTCGTTCGTGCGTCCCTTTATTTTACCCCAGAGGCCCAACCGAAAGGAGGGACAGGGAAACGAGCGAGGAAACGAAACGAAACAAAACGGGCTTGCAGTGGATCCAACCATCGAGGCACCAGCCAGGGGAATGGGATGAAGAGGTGCAGGGGGAGGCACTGGAGGTTGCTCGTTACGGTTGAGAAAAATCTCCGAGACGGAGCCGGGCAGATTGTTGGTGGCCCAAAAGAGTTTTTCATTCGGTCATTGTGCATTTTTTCGGTGGGTATACCTGTCCAATATTGAAAACCACGGACAACACCCTTGACCATTCAGCTGATCAGCGGAAGCGAAGGAGATTGAGGGAAGTGAGAAGCTTTTGAATTGGTGTGCTTTGCTGGCGAAAAGAAACGAGGCAGTATTCCTGATGGTTGAGAATTGAGACTTTGGGTTGCCGGCGGGAGAGGACACCACCACATGTTCGCATTCGTCCGAGCGACGGAGACCACCACCCAAAGTTGAAACGCTGATGGACATATTGGGAAGCGTAGTGGATGCGAACAGCTGAAAGCGGCAAGACGCGGCAGGGGTTTGTAATTGTCTATTTGCTATTCCGGGAAGGGAGAAGACGCCGTCAAGTGCAAACACGAGGCGTTGAAGTGTGCTGCTCGAGTGACTCTGCAGAGTACCTTGCGGAGAAAACGGCGAGAGAATGTCGACGAGGAGAAGAAGAAAATCCCGATGCGAAAAGGAAACCATCTTGAGAGCGTCGACCTGAAACAAAAGAGGCGCTGCCGAAGGATCTTCATGATTCTCACTGGATTCGGCCCTCTACGTTCTTGTCGTCTCCAGCGCGCTAGACCGCGGAAGGGTCGCGAGGGGGAGGTGAAGGTTCCTGAAATGGACTCTGCGGCACCCTGAGCAGTTGTCGTTTGCAGCGCAAATGGGAAAGGCGTATACGGTTAAGGTTGTTTCGAAACGGGCCTCGCATGGCAGCCAGGTCCAGTGGCCGCACGTTTGCTTGGAGGAGTTGGGGGGAGGAAATGAGGGAGGGGCGCGCCGGATAGTGGCAGTGCCGGCCGCTAAACCGCAACGTGGGAAAGCTAGTCGCACTATCAACGCCGGCCGACAGCTGCCAGACGTGTTCGCAATGCTCGCTGTCGGGGTCAAGAGATGAGGAGGATTTCTTTCCACTGCCGTATTGCTCGCGAGCCTCCGTAATCAGGGTTTGGCGCCGTCTGCTGAGGGCGAGAAGCATTCCGAAAGATACTGTAGGACGACAGGCATCCAAACCACGCGAGGTGCTGGGATACTAGGTCTACTGGGAGGCCCTACGGATACTAGACTCTGATAAGAAGAGGGGCGATGCTGCGTTGCCGGTGGACGTTGGGCGGTAGGTCGTCCTGTTCCTGCATGGATGGCACCATGGGACAGGTTGATGCTTCAATGGTGGCGGCAGCAAACGCCCGCCTCTCAACCGTTTTTTGAAGAGTTTGAGTCGCGGCTGGCTTGTCGTTCGACCGCGTTTTGGCGGCCGCTGTCATCCTCGTGGCCATGCTCGGAGCCATGCCCGTAGTGCGGGCTAGCACTGCGAGTAGGAGGCTTGACTCGGTAGGCGAGTGTCTTGCGCCGCTTGTTGTCTGACTCCCGGGCTTGCAGTTGGGTGTCAAGAGACATCGATGTATTCGTTGTCAAGTTGCGAGCGGTATTCATGGCCTCCTTGGCCTCGTGATGCTGCTGATCAAGCTCGCGTTGTAGCTTATCGGGCGACGGCGGCGTGCTATCGTCAAAAACCTCATCAATGTCCCGTTTCCTGCCGACCTGAAGTGACTCCGACGGTTGAGGGATCTGCATGTCCATCAGGCTCTCAGCGTGAGACAGAGGAGCAAGAGGACTTCGGGGGATACGCCGGCCGGGTGTCATGGTTGGGTCCGAAATAATAGGATCTGGTGAAGGTAGTCTCGAGCTCCATCCGCTGGACCCGCTGTCAGACGTGACACTACAACCATGCACGTAGTGGCAGTGGTGGGTTTGGTTGGGACCAGGGGGTGCCAACTTACCTCGCACTCGAGAGATGGGCGCGTGTCGAGGCCACGCCGTCACCTACGGCGCTTTCTGATGGCTCGTCTTTGGACATGGCAAGCGCCGCTGGTCGTGTACGTGGAGTTGATCAAGTAGTGTTAGACTGACAATGGTCCAAGAAGAGGGTACAGCAATCTTTGCACAGATGCTCAGGCGGCCAGCCCTGGTGCGGGCAGTTCGGACGCTTGTCGTTATGTTTTGGCCACTTCCGAGAAAAGTGCACGGTTCTCAAACGACCACCATGTGCCGGCCGGTTGTTTATGGTGGTAACAGTAGCGATTTGTGCGCGAGAAGCCCTGTTTGCCAACTTCATGCGAGAAGCCGTGGGTTGGGGTGCCTCGCCAGATTTCATGATCATGAGGCTAGACTTTCGGTATCCGAAGCTTTAGATGAAAGTGCAAGAGATGGCAAATGTCTGCGCTTCTCTGTCCCATTGGACGTTTATCCAGCGAACAACAAAGGCGTTCATTTTAGGCCGAGGTCAGGGCATGTCTCGGAGTGCGCCGTTGTCTGAGTCACCCTTCGAGGAATGAACTTCTTCGGGGGTTTCTGCGAAGCTTCTGGGAAGCAAACTGGTTGACAGATGTCCAAGGCGTTTTCGACGAAGTAGAATGGATGCAAATGTGATTTTATTTGTACCGGCTGACTAGGCTTGGTGGGTCACACTTTTCTTGAATATTGGAGACTTTCGGTGTCGAACGCCGCCACAGCCTCCACGCGATGGATGCCAATGGTGGTGGCTTTGGTGAATCTGATCGATGGACTACATCGACAGTCCCTGGTTGGGTCACTGGTGATCTATGCTTGCAGGGCTGATGGATAAGCCCCGGATCGAAGCCTGGAACGTGTAGTTACTATCCGTAGAGCACGACTTCGAAGATCGATCAGAAATGATCTTTCCGTGTCTCAGTCTTGCAAATTCGATGGGAGTCTAGCGTCATCTTATCTGGATGGGTTTCTACCAGCGTCAGAAGCGTCGGTCCGAGTGCCATGTTGTGCAGACAAGTGGGTGACAAAATCGATTGCATATGTCGAGCGGAAATCGATTTTGTCACCCACTTGGCAGAGTTGTGACAGGTACATAATGGTTAGATAACGGTAAAGACGACATGGATTCAAGGACTGGAACGGTAAATTGTAGTAGGGGTTGGAGGCATTGTCAAGGATGCGTATTGTTGCAGCAACCCAGGTGGGAGGTTGATAGGTTGTTGAAGTGATGTGCATTTCCTGCTATTCGTCTTGATAAGTACCCCTTTCACTACTCATATCATAATTACTACCTTTCTATATTAAAGTCCTTCTCAGGTATATACGTAGAAAAATATACTATATTTGATAGATATTAATGCTAGTAATAATAGTGGTGTCAATACTAGTGATAATAGTGGTGGAACTGCTTGTCGCGTGCGGGTGGATGTGGGATGCGGTGGGTAGAAATGGCGACCAAGGTACGTACCGAGGGAGCTGAGGTGCCCGACAGAGCTTTCATTGAGTTACCACCTAGGGGTAAGGTACCTACCTAGGTAAACAAAGTAAGGTAAGGTAGGTTCCAGGCACCATCACCTCCAATAAAGTGGTTTGGGCTGACTAAACAGCTGCTCACGTGAAGACGCGCCAAACTCTGGGAATCAGTGGGCCCAGTAGTCGCGACTCCTTCCTCGCCGACAATTGGCATTTTCACCCCTCCACTCGACTACCTTGCCAATTCGTACATATTCACAGTTTCCAGCTCGACTGGGTGAAGCTGTTGGCGGGGATGCACCGCTATTGAGCTGCTTTTCTGCCTCGACTTGTTGGTATTTTACTGCCCTGTAGCGGCTACTAGCAATATTGAACCCCTCCATACCTTAGACGGCTATGGCCGATATCATGGAAGTCGATCCCGCTCCTTCTGCTGGCACGAAGCGGAAGGCGGAGGAAGACCCGGACGACTCTCAAGGGCCCCGTCGCATTCGCGTGAGTTGCAAGAGCCGCTTACTCGGCGTGCTACGTTTCTGACAGGCATGCGCAGGCGCTCGATCAGAATGTAGTCAATAAAATCGCCGCCGGAGAGATCATTGTTGCCCCCGTCAATGCCCTGAAAGAACTGATCGAGAACTCGGTTGACGCAGGTGCCACTGCTCTCGAGGTACTGGTCAAGGAAGGTGGCCTCAAACTCCTGCAAATCACCGATAATGGATGCGGTATTCAGGTACGACATGTTATGCGTCCTCTCCGTAGATCTACCTTTTCGTTCTGACTCTGCTCAAGAGGGAAGACATGGAGATCCTCTGCGAGCGTCATACGACCTCCAAGATCACCGCCTTTGAGGATCTTACCTCCATTGCCACGTATGGCTTCAGAGGCGAGGCCCTCGCAAGTATCAGTCACATCGCCCATCTCTCCGTGACTACCAAGACCAAAGACTCGAATTGCGCATGGCGTGCCACATACCTCGATGGCAAGCTGGCTCCCGCAAAGCCTGGCCAGTCGGCTGATCCCAAGCCCACCGCTGGGCGCCAGGGTACGCAGATCAGCGTCGAAGACATGTTCTATAACATACCGACACGTCGGAGAGCATTCAGATCGCCTGCTGAGGAGTACAATAAGATCATCGACATTGTCGGACGTTACGCTATCCACTGTAAGGGAGTGGGCTTCTCCTGCAAGAAGCACGGCGAATCGGGCACCAGTGTATCCATCCAAGCCACAGCAAGTGAAATCGACCGAATACGGCAGATATACGGCTCAAGTGTCGCCAACGAGTTGATGCAGTTCTCAACCTCAGAAGATCGTTGGGGCTTCAAGGCTACTGGATGGGCCACGAACGCCAACTACAATATCAAGAAGACCACGTTTCTCCTGTTCATTAACCACCGGTGTGTAGAGTCAACCACCATAAGAAAGGCACTTGAGCAGCTATACGCCTCATTCTTACCCAAGGGCGGCCGTCCATTCATCTACCTCAGCCTTGAGATCGACCCTGCCCGAGTCGACGTCAACGTTCATCCTACGAAGCAAGAAGTGCATTTCCTGAACGAGGATGACGTAATCCAGTCAATATGCGAGCACATACGCTCCAAGCTGGCAGAGGTGGACACGAGTCGCACATTCATGACACAGAGCTTGCTACCGGGTGGTCAGATGATGGAGATATCCCCTCAGGCCGAGGGCGAGGGCACCCCAGCGACGCCTGCAAGAGAGACACCAGGCTCAAAAAGACCACGGAGGAACTCTAATAATCTCGTCCGTACCGATACGAGCTTGCGGAAAATCACCAGCATGCTCCCCTCAGCCACAGCCGCTACGCCCTCCAAGGCGTCACCAGGGCTTGCTGCGGCCGCAGCCGGGGTGGCTGACGAGAACGCCTTGTCTGCCTCGGAGCACATTCAGTACGAAACGGTCGATCGGCCCTTCGCACCAATGAGGCTTACTAGCGTCAAGGAGCTCCGGGCCGAGGTAAGGGAAGATATGCACAACGACCTCACAGAAATCTTTGCAAGTCACACATTTGTCGGCGTCGTCGATGAACGCCGTCGATTGGCCGCTATCCAGGGCGGTGTCAAGATGTATCTCATTGATTACGGTCGGACCTGCTACGAGTACTGCTATCAAGTCGGGCTGACGGATTTTGGCAATTTTGGTACAATCCGCTTCACGCCGCCCCTGGACCTCCGAGAGATCCTCCGCATCGGCGCCGAGGTGGAGAAGGCCAACATCGAGTCTCCCGACGAGGACTTTGACATTGATGACGTTGTCGAGAAGGTAGCCGCCCAGCTGATTGAGCGGCGCGAGATGCTCACCGAGTACTTTTCCCTCGAAGTTTCCCCCGCGGGCGAGCTGCTCACCATCCCCCTTCTAATCAAGGGCTACACGCCTGCCATGGTTAAGTTACCTCGTTTCCTGTTGCGCCTCGGACCTTGCGTCAACTGGGAGGATGAGAAGCTGTGTTTTGATGCCTTTTTGAAGGAGCTGGCGTCCTTCTATGTGCCTGAGCAGTTGCCGCCGACAGTTGGTGGGGAGGCTGGCGAGAATGAGGAGGAGGCCAAGGTCGATGATCAGCTTGCGGAACGGCGGAGAAATGTACGTTTCGCGATTGAGCATGTGTTTTTCCCTGCCTTCAAGGCGAGGTTGGTTGCGACTACGTCGTTGATGAAGGCTGCTGTGTTGGAGGTTGCTGATCTGAAGGGCTTGTATCGCGTTTTCGAGAGATGTTAGGGCTGGGTGGCTGGACGCGTCTTCGTTTCAGTCTTGGTCGTATATTCCAGGAAATCACAGTATCCCGATTTGAAAAGCTGTGGCCTTCTTCTTGGGTGTTCCAGGCCTCAAAAATTGCCATGCAATTGAACCACAGGGCAATCAAGCTCATCATCAATGCCGCCAGGGCGACATATATTATTGAATCATCATCTGATGTCGCTAGCATGTCGTCGAGATCCGTCGCGCTGTATTCTCCGTCAACAGCAGTGAGCCGGGCTTTTGTCTTCCTAGCTCTAACCAGGCGCAAGAGGCTGGCGAAGAACTCAAAAAGACTCTTTGATTCGCTGTCAGAAAGGAAAAGGCCCATCGTGGCCGGTCCCACGAAGATAAGTAACAAAGCTGAAAAGACTACCGTCTGGGAAATGACGGGTCCAGGCTGAGTGGCAAAATCCCTGCAAAACCAGCCAAGATAGTCCCGAGGGGTATTTCTTCTGTACCAGGCAACATACAAAGATAACAGGACTACTAGAGGCCAATGTAAAGTGATACCAAAACTGAGGAAATATCTGTTGTGAAAAGCAATGGCGCCAGCTGATGACCCGAAATAAGCCAGAAAGCACGCATGAAGCAGAACAGCAGGGGAAGAAAGAAGAGACTTCAGGACATCGAATAAATATTTGAGATAAGAAACAAACATAGAGCCGACAGAGCTGGAGGGTTTCGGGGTGTTTGTGGTGCGTGTAAGTGATTTTAGCATATAATCGCTGCGTTTGGACTTTGCGGAGGCGGGGTCCTTGTTTCCTCGTAGGTTCCTCGAATAGTTGTGCAGGTCCCGCGTAAGGAGCTCTAAGCTTCCCAATTTTGATTCGGATATGGATGAAAGTTGAGTGTTCAGCTGTCTTGACTCAATGATGGTTCGTTCGAAATCGTTGTTCCGATGACCGTGGAGATGTTGCTGCGGTAAATCTGGTGTGGTATCCGATGTGGACCGTACAGAATAACGAGCATAGCAGACATCTCCATCACTTGGGAAGATCGGTAACCCAATCGCATCTGTCGCCAAACCTCTTCTTTGTCCAATGCTGCGTTGAATGTTCCCCCAAGAGACCATGCAAGCTGAGCCAGTGGAGCGTGCTATCACCATGCCCAAGAGGCTGCAGTCGCTCTCTCGGATTACCCAAGAGCCGTAATCACCTGCTTGGAGATCTAACAGTGTGTCAGAGAGATCTTTGAGCCATACAGGAAGCCCTTTGAATAGGCAAAAAATTCCTTACCACCTTTCGTGAGTCTGATAGACCATGACTCAAACGAGTTTCCCACACCAGCAAGCATGTATGAAGGATTCGAGGACAGCACGCCGTGCACCACGCCACTCATACCTGAGATGATTGATACGTGCCAAGGATTCTTATCCAGAAAGCTTGCTGCATCTAAGCTGACAAAAGCCGTAATTTGTACTTCTTCATTAGAGTCAAGTACAATATTTGGTAGGCGATGGGATGGCTCAACGGCGACGAGACTCCAATCGTTCCATGGTTCATCCGAGGCCTGATTCAGCAAAGACCCACGGTTTGGGCCAGGTCCGATAGCAGTGGACTCGAGAGTTTTGTCTTCTTCGTGATGCTTAGAGAGCAACGTCACAGACTCAGGCGTTCCAGGCTGTAGGAAGTCGCCGTCTTCGGGTTCCCCATCCGCAAACGCCGTAATGAGGTCAGCCAAAGATGGAGTATCCTTCTGGTTCTCGGCGATAATTTCGTCTTCTGGGTGATGACTTGTTGTCAAAGCAAAGGTCTGATCATTGACATTAATCAGACCGCCTATGGTCGATGTTCTCAGGGATCCATTCGGATCCTCAAAAGTGGCCAAGCCGCCGCACAGAGTTCTCGTGAAAGAGGAATTGATGTCAGGCAAACTGGACACAGCTGAACGAATGATCCGCCTTTTCTCATAGCAAAGCTTTAAGGGGCTGTAGAGATGTTTGTAGCCTTTCATGGACATGAGATAGTCGAATGCTCGGATATCTCCCGATTTGTTGAAGCCAGAAATGCAGATGTGTGTTTTTGGGGCGGATTTTGAATGTGTGAGCATGCTATGCTGCCGCCACCAACTGTGCTCTATGGAAACCAGAGATAGAGTGATGACTGGGAACTGGCGTCCACAGCTGGCATGGAATGCAGTATTGTCGGATTTGAGCCTTCGTAAAAAGACCTTCAAGACAGTTCGTTCCTCGTTGGTGAAGCCGACGTCGGGGTCTGCCCAAGCAGTTTTGGGGATGAAAGACCAAAAGCTCTGTGGCTCTACGACGACTCTGATTACGCCCTCGAGTGTATGACTCCCCGCAGTTTCTTTCGATTTGCTGGCTCCAGTCGTCTGGGGCTCATCACGATGCTCAGTGACAGAGATCTGGCATTGCTCGGCCTGTTGCATTTGCAATTCCGAGGGCTCGCTTGTAACGATGACATTGACATGGTCGTTCGCAGGTTGGGACTCTTCCTCCGGCCTTGGAGAATGCCCCAGTTCGAACTGCTCATTCTCGTCATTGCAAGGCAATAACTGATGGCCTTCCGGGAAGCATTGGGTATCCACGACCTTTCGCTTTCCACCATCATCTTCGGTTGTTTCCGCATTTTCTCCGTACGCGTAATTAGGGAGGACTGAGTCGGATGTTGATTTGAGGATGTCGAATGTCTTTAAGAAATCGCAAAAGGTGGAGTCGGCGACATCGAGTCCCTGCCTGTTTATGCCGAAGCTGGCCATGACAAACCTTGACATGTTTATCCCATATGTTTTCCAAACCCCCTTGGACGATCTAAAAATCCTGGCAGCTCTTGAAAGTCGCCATTGGAATCTCACACCTCCAAGGAAGGAGTATTGAGTATCGGAGGACTGGAAATGATTCGAAGAATTGCCCTTTGTCACGTTCAGACTGGCTGACAATGTGGGCCTCTGAGGCATGGCGACTGCAAGAGGTCGTTATTGTAGCAGTGAATGAAGAGAGAAGGAATGGGGCCAGCGACGGGGGGGATAGGAGGGTACCTTTTCCATCCACGTGAGGCTGACTATCCGACTAAGGTAGGCTGATTCGACTGCTTGGCACACCCAACCAAGGAGGTTGCATGTGCTGCTGACCTACATTCAGAGCAGTTGAAAATGGAAGAAGGACCAGTGGCTTTCTCAAATTAGGCGCGAATGGTGCATTAGTATCTCCCTCCCCTGGCGTACTTGAGCTGAGGTCGCCCGCCCCATTCTCAACCAACACAGCCTTGCCAGCGACTTCATTAATTGAAAGCACCAACGCAATTTCCGGGCTTGGACTGGGAAGGTCATTTTCGGATGGTACGCATCAAAACGGAAAAGGTATACAATGCAGTGCCCTTCTTTCGCGTCAGGCGAGCATGGCATGCAGGCAAATAACGTTGGAGACACTGCTTCATCGACGCACCACTCACGAAGCCCGAGACTTTTGAAATACTACGGAGAACATATGTTGTCATGCAAAGCTCGTTGCAACGAAGTCAAGATACAGAGAGCGTTCATAGAGCTCAAAACAGCTCCTCTAGCGACAAAAGGGGCTATTCTTTCTCGAGCCGATCAGGATGGCATTGGGCCGATTGTCGAGTGCGTTGTGCGACTCATGTTCATGACTGCATGCCAGCCAGAAGGGGCTGCACTGGGAAGTTATTGGGTTCATGAATGGAAAGATGAAGAGACATTGACAGCCTTTCTCAAACGTGTATACTCCCAGGCTTTTGCGGGAGGGATACCTACACAGCCTATCAATACGGGGAATCTCTGCGCTTATATCCTGGCTAAAAACGCCAGGGTCATTGTAAAGGAAACTGACGTGCTATCGGATCACCTATCTTTGATTATAGGGGAAGGTTTCAAGACGTTGTTGGTGTTCCACCATCGCGCATTCCTCGAACATAGCCTGGAGGTTTTGAAGACGGACCGGGAAGATTTAAGCCAGTCTTTCCCAGAAGCTGTATCCATGTAAGCCCTGACCTTTGGAACTTTCTCAGGTGACTTGGAACTTAACCCGCGATTTTAAAGTGGCTGTCTTGCCCCGACACTCCTCGAAGAAACGCTTAGGACCCTTGACCTCTTGTTCCCACCTTCCGGCGACGGACAATCCCGACGAATACTCGAGAAATGGGTGCAGCGGGAAGATCTTGACCCAGGTCTGCTAGAGCCGGGTCATACAATGCTGGAAATTTCAGCTGAAAATAAGAACCCCGATGACCTTCAGGAGCTGTACATGCAGTATCCGCACTGGGCCCCAAGGCTTGCCCGCCTGCTGAAGGAGGTCGACGATCCAACCCCGACAACTAGATGGGAGCGCTACGCAGAACGGAGGAAATCCCCTCGGCACATGTACAAGTGCGCTCTCGCCGCGTTCATAGTGGCGGCCCTCTTCGGTATCTTTGCTACGGCGCTAGCGGCAGTCCAGGTCTGGATTTCGTACTGCGCCTGGGTGGACGACCCGATGAAATCCTTATGCGGAGCAAAGAAGGCCCAAACTTCTCCAACAATGAACGAGAAATTCTGAAGTCCAATGCGAAGAAGAGGGATCTTATTTTTTTAAGACGTTGAGAAATTGCTAGGTCTTTATCGTTTGTTCCACTCATGACTAAGAGCAGAAGATGTCCCACGGAACGCCGGCGAGGTCGGCTAGAGTGTAAGTCGGGTGAGCCGAGGTGGAGCCCGATCGCCGATCGCCGTTGCCGCACAGTGTCCGCGCCGGCCCCAACTCCTTGGCATAACGCCCTAGCGTGGGAGAATCTTCACAGTGCTCAAATCACACCATACATGGCGCTTGTGATCAAATCCGGTTCCCATTTCTCGCCCAGACTTCTAAGTTCCCATCACTCATATCCTCAATCTCATAGCATCATATACACTTAGATCCGCAATCAAAGTCTTCAACTCGTCTTCATCTCAATTCAATCACAGCTCAATCTAGTGTACTCATTTCCAGCCATGGCTTCGCGACCCGACATGGACGACGAGGACCTAAC